CTATCCACTCTTTGGCTTCTTCTAGTCCTTTCTTTTCCTGTTTCTTTTTATCATTTTTACATTCTTTCTCTATTTGTTGGACTAAGTTAGTACATTCAGATGGAGTTAGTTGTCCTTTAAAGTCATATTTCTCTTCCCATTCTTTTAGATATTTGACATTATTAGGATCTCTGTGCTTCATGTACTTTGTATCTCCCTTTAGTTCTGGTGGAGACCCTTTACAACAATTATTCCCCATTGTGAAATTATTGCTCCCCTCTCAACAGCCATCCGGTTTGTATGGCGCAAAAAAGACCTATCAGATAAGTACTGCTTGTGTTATCACTGTAAGGTTTCCACAGTCAGATAGCTGGTTAATAACATAAGATACAACCTCTACCTGTTTAAATCTCTGAGACACTAGTAACTACCAACTCCTTTGTTTAAAAACACTTATTTAAACACACAGTCGCACTCACACATACACAAATATAGACAAACACTACGCAGTTCACAGGCTATAGCTACTGGTCTTACTGCGACACAACTCGCAGTTACTGCATACTGGTCTCGTTGTGTTTCAACCAGTTCCTCTTTTAACATGCGCATGGAGTTATTTATTACCTATAGCCTTCTCGCATAGGCTATGGACTGTTTTGGTTTATTTAAAACCGCTTGTTCCTATTTTCTCACTTGGGTTGTTAAAAAGAATCTCAAAAATAGGAAGGATCACACCCTGTTTGTATATTATTATTATTATTATTAGGCTTCGTTTTTCTGTTTAGTAAATTGAGTTACAATACAAGGTCGTCACTTTTTTTTTTTTTCTTTCAGTCCAGAATTCGAGTCATCACCGTTTGGTCACTAATAATACATCATTCACACAATTTTCTCTTACCTATTCCAGTGAAGTCATTCTTTCTATCGAACTCCCGTCACTTTCCGCTCGTCCAGCAGATCCTGGCCTCACAAGTAGTCAAAATGTTCTTTGAAGAAGAACACGACTGAGGTCTTTCTTAGGGGAGGACTCTAACCTCCCCCCATGCATGGTTTTCAGTTCCAAACCTGGTCAAGGGATTGGATGTTTGGCTCCAGCTCGAAGGACCAAGTCATTAAGAAAATTTCTTTGAATAAAGCAATGAAGTCACTGGAATTGTCTATCAAATCATTTACTTGCAGCAAGGAGACAAGTCAAGCACAATGGTACAGAGTTGTCTAAAGAAATTCACTTCATGCAATATACGTATTATATACGGTAGTTGGAGGTATGCCTGATGGACGTGGCTTAGAAGCAAAGTCATCATGTAAGCATCTATATGTCACAAAGGTGGCAATTGTCCCACACCTCCGGTCTATTGATTGTGTATTGTTACAGCTAGATTAGAGAGAAGACAAGATGTATCTTCTCTTCAAACACACAGTTTCGATCTTTCACTCGTGTTCTCTTTGAAAATTTAACATCAAGTTCAGACATAATAATGCAATCAGCATATAATCAGTACTACATGTCTATCATGTGACATGGTTTCCATAACACTTCCCCAAGGCTATGATACTAATTAACGCGGCCCTTAAATGAAATTGCTACTTGTACATTATTGTTGTACATTTTCAGCTGTTTTTTTTTTTTGTTTTTTTTTTTTTACTAATGTAGGTTGTAGGGTGTTTTTATTCATTATGTCATTGTTGGGACTTGAGTAACTTATTTTGTTTCTGTTATGTAAATGCCTAGAATGGCAATAACAACCTTTCTATCCTATTTATCGGTTTGACGCAATCTCTGTGTAAAACGGGCTATTGTCCTTCAGTCACAGCAGTCAGGCTTTAGGTCGACTAATAACATAGTAGCTGCTGTTGTGGGTGCATTCTTAAGCTGCGTCATTTAAAAAAGTATCTTGTGTTCAGTTTGATTTGTCCAAGCCTGTTGATACTGTGGACCTCTACAAGTTGTGGGCTACTGACTTGATCATTCAGTATTGATGATTCTGTAAAACTTTGGATCTGTGTATAAATGCATATTTTCTATTACACTTTAATGTTGTAAAAGACGATGATCACATTAAAATATATTTTAATACACATATCAGTGTGTAGTAGTGAGGCAAACTCAAATAGTCAAACTAAGGATACATAAGATTTGATTTTGGAAAAAGAGGTGGTCTGACTAGGCGTATTCTTGTCCAAACCCAAACATAAATGCACTAAAGTTTTTGTTGAACTGTGCATATATTAAATGTCGGGAGCACTTGTAATAGCTGATGATCAGCAGCACAGTTAATACCAATTTTGCTTTTTTAACAATGTAATTTTTGACTTGTTCACTGAAGCGTTTTACCAGATGTAGCGGAAATGACTACACTTATGAACATGGATATTAATAATTACTATTCAATACCTCTTTAGATTAGAGCACCAGATAGTTTTGAGTGCAATCACACTGTGATTAAGTCATTAAGAGTAATTAATCCAGTCTCATGTGAAAGCAGTTAACTCTGACCAGTTGAGTTACCAATTGACTGAAAATAGGAGAGACCCAAAGATGGCATGATGAAGCCAGTTATAGGCTAAATAAATTTATTTACAATACTGTATGTATGTACAGAAAAACGACAGGGATGAGAAATGCCATTCACACAGTACATTGTACAGAGATGACTGGGTTTAATGGATGACTCAGTCTGTTAACGATGATGGAAGATGAGTTAATATAACCTAAATTTGAACAAGATTCTAGATCTAAATTCTGGGGTTTAGTTCCAAATCTGGAGAAAAAAGAACTCAATTTTAAGGTTAGAGGCTTTAGTTTGGTAATAACTATGGTTTTCATGAGAAATCAGGCTACTAGGTTGTACTTAGCTGTTGGCAGGGCTCATGTGGCCAGGAGGGAGAGGAGCGCTGGTTCAGAGCCTCTTTGGGCCAGATTCAGTTGAAAATTTGCTTGCTTTATCAGTTATCATTTGCTCTGTGTGCTTTATTTTAATGTATAGAAGGCTGATAAGGGTGATACAGGCAGAGGTGAGCAAGGCTGACCAAGAGGAGACCCCAATGGCCTTGAGTGAGGGAGAGCGATTATTAGTCTGTTATTTGGATGGCTGCCCATGCTGGTGACCTCAATGTGTCATCTGTAGACACCTGCCTATCATAGTGCATCAAATTAATATTGTCTGGGTGTCATCTTATGACAGGTTAATGTGTTAGCTTGTCACTCCTTGATGAGCTAGACCAGACATGGGCAAACTACGGCCCATTAGGATTTTTAATCCGACCCGCCGAACTTGTCCAAATTATATTGTTAAGTTATGTTATCATTAAACCTCATTCATTTTGCCTTTTCTCTACAATACCTGCGTTTCCCCCAGTAGATGGTGGATCACTGCATCATTCATCAGGAATCTCTGTGCAAGTCTGTATTGCAGCTTAATCATGTCGTGAATCCAGTCATAAGACTTGTTAACTTTATAGGAGCAAGGGGACTTCAGCACCATCAGTTTATTACATTCCTGGAGGAAACCCGATGCAGATCACCAGGACTTACTTTACCACTTTCGTGTCCGCTGATTTGGGCAAAGTGTTTCAACGAGTGTTGAGAGGAGATTACCGCATTTTTGGAGTTAATGGGGAAATCAGACTAATTTTCTGAGCTGAGCGACAAGAACTGGCTTTGTGACTTTGCGTTTGATGTGGACATTTTTTTAACACATGAGTGAGCTGAACGTGAAGCTACAGTTTGTGCACAACAATTTCAAACAAATCTTTTGCCCATTTTCCTACACTAGCCATGCAGAAAGAGGCCGCCCGAAACGCGAAAAAATACAGCAAATCACTGGACGACCTGCACGGAGAATTCTGCTGTCAGTTCTCTGATTTAAAAAAAAAAAAAAAGACAAGTCACTTCAGCTGGTGTCCTGTCCCCTGTCACAAGACCCTGAAACAGCACCACAGGAGCTGCAATTGGAACTAATCAATCTTCAGTCTGACTGTTTTAAAGGAGAAGTTCAACTCTCTTAAACTGAATGACTTTTATGCTTCACTTAACGAAGCCATGTTTTCAACCTCCAGAGGACAGCACACAAGATGTTTGGCTTGACCTGTGTGTGTGAGCAGATGTTCAGCGTCATGAACATCAACAAAGCCAGTCACAGATCCATGTTAACTGACCAACACCTCAGATCTATCCTGAGAATAGCCACAACAAAACTAACTCCAGACTTTGACCAACAACAACAGACCAACGTGTTCCCACTGAAACTGAAGGTTTAATTCTCTACTGTGTTATGAAAAAAATGCATTTGGAGAACAATTTGTACAATAAGCCTTGTATATTCATGCTTTGCTACTCGTTAAAGGCCAAAACCTTTTATGTAATGGCTTTTATATGTCATTTATATTAGTTCACACAAACACTCCATCCTTCTGCTCCTGGCCCGGCCCATCTGTCAAATTTTAGAACCCATTGTGGCACACGAGCCAAAAAGTTTGCCCACCCCTGTTTAGACATTGTTTTGACAGATTGTGTTGCACATCAAGTAAATATTTGACCACAGTGCCTAGACTGTGCAGATCAGACATCCCTACAGAAACATGGCGTGTCTCGTGTGGACAGCTTCATGTGGGAATAAAGCCTGGGGCCTATAACCACCAGGGGCTTTCAATATGGACATTAACTCCATAAGTAGCTTTTATTTGATCTAAGGGATGCTTAAGACTACCTCGCAGCTACTCAGCTACAAGTAGAAACCAGATCATGAAACTGGCTTGGCTCTCTCCTTTTTAGCCAGTGCATCAAAGTCTGGAGTTAGTTTTGTTGTGGCTCTTCTCAGGATAGATCTGAGGTGTTGGTCAGTTAACATGGATCTGTGACTGGCTTTGTTGATGTTCATGATGCTGAACATCTGCTCACACACACAGGTCGAGCCACCTCAAAGTGGGCACCAGGAGGAGACTGTCTTTCCTCTTATGTCTTTTGAAACTTTTTTCAGAATTTTCCACATTCCAATTGTTATTGTGTGCTTTGTTTTCAGGGTTTACTCTGAAATGTCACAAGTAAGAAACAACCTGACACACCCACGGTTCCAACTGACGGAGGAAGAGGATGAGGCTGATATCATTTGGGGCTATAATCACATCAAAGGCTACAGGTCAGCAATTAATCAACACACAATCACATGTACTCAGTTGTCAGTTTATTAAGCTAAAACTAATGCAGTCATATCCAACAGTCCTGCAATAAATTGTCCCTCATGATGGTAATCTTGGTTGGTTTTTGTTTCAGAGATGTGTTTATTGTAAATATGTGAACGTGTAGAAGATATAGTTTGTACTGCTGAGATTAGAGTGAGATATTTTGGGGGCTGAAATGTTGAGCAAGTACAGCCATTTATTTAAAACAAAGTTGCAAAATTAATCTGAAACAGTTTAGCAAGCAAAAATGCCAAATATTTAGTGGTTTTCCGATTTTATCTATTTTTATATCATTGTAAAAATTAATCTCTTTGAGACCATCGCACCAAGAAAACAAGACATCTGACTTTTGTTTAATAATGGTAGTAAGGATTTTTCTGTTGTCTGTAACTTGTCTGGAACAGATGCAAACACCACTGGGTGCTTTCCAGCCCTTCTGCAACATCCTGTTTACATACCCAGGTCATTTATATGGTTGAGTTGTATATAGTATATCCATAATGGACTGTCATTGACTTTAGTTTACTTTTCCCCATATAGTCTGCAGTAGATAATAGAAATAATACCCTACCAAGACCAATAATACCCTACGTGGCCGAGCATATTGGGTCTGCTAACTTCCCTTATTCACAGAAAAGTTCCTGGTTTTCTTAACTGCAGTATTGCTGCTGATGTGCTGAAGTGTGGTTCATGGGCCTGCTTGGGCTTTCTTCTTGGTATAATTTATGTTCACCTTTGTTTCCTTCTGTAGGTTTATAGTACTGTCTCCAGCTATCGCTGCTGTCCAACTCTTGGCTGTCCTTGACAAATACTAAACTTGTGTCTAAACTCCAGGCGCAAGGTGAATATGGGCGTGTTCAATGGTATTTTGTTATTTTGGTGACCACAGAGCAGCGCACTTTCATGCGTTACCAGGCACATTTTGTAGGAGGGGCAAAATACATTATTATAAGGAGGAATACAGAATACATCATGAGCAGGTGAAACTAGGGCTGGCTTTAAGTCCATTCAAGCAACCTCCACTTAACCCCTTCAAAAAGCAGGGCAGAAATCTAACTGACTGATGTCTGTACTGTATATATACACACGCACGCACATACACACACACGTACGTACGTGTGTATGCGTGCGTGTATATACTGTATGTACATGTATATGAGAGGAGAGGTTTTTTTTCCCCATGTATTGTCTTCTCCTGCCAGTTATGTACTCCATTCCAACAATGATGGTGACTTAGCTATTTATGTAGAAGAACTGCACATAAATATTCACCACCAGCTTTTTTTGCATGGAAGAAAGTCTCTGGTCCAGTAATCAGCAGGTATTTAAAGCGACCAAATACCGGCTGCAGATCACCTCTGGCTACATCCTGTAAATAGGCGATAGATGGTACAGTATGTCCTGACGAGGCATAGGATTTATTGCAAAGTACTCGCAACAAGCAATATCTCCATTTCTGGTTTGTGAAGCAGAGCAGGTTACAGAATTCCTGCAGCAGCTTTTATACCCTCTCCACGCAACTTCTAGTCTCACATGCTCTTATTGCACTCTCTCTCTTTGACCTTCTAGTGTTTAAAGCAAACAAAATATTATCAGAATATAGTTAAAGCACAACATGTGGAATAAACTCTATAATAGTGTGAGGTGAACAACTTTTTGTTCCTTTGTACTGATCTCTGTGAGGAGGCGCCAGGCTTCGTGTTGTTTAGTACAGTTTGCACGGGGTTCCCAAAAATAGAGAAGCGTGACCAAGGGTGGACGCCAGGGTGGACAATCACAGGAAGTGAGAAATTGCAATATAGTCAGCAACAGAGTTGATCAGGGGCGCTTGTGTGAAGATACGAGAAGAAGACGAGACCAGTGGCTGACAGCCTGGCCTCCTCTGCAGATACTCAGACTGACACAGGTGATCTTGTTTCTCGCATAAACACAACCTGTCACAAGGTGTCAGGTTAGAAATATTAAACCTTAACATGAAAGGCTCAACCTGTCATAGGATGACATCTTAAAAACATTGAATATTTACATCAAAGGCTCTTTTCTAGCTCTCCTTCTCTGGGATGTGACAGGTGGCCTCATGCTGCTTTTTAGTCCGGGCTGCAAAACTGGGCAACGGTATTGAAAAATGAATGGTATTGAGGTATTATAGTGTCTAAGTCTGTCGGTGGCCCAAATTAAGTCACAGACAAATCACTACGATTCCAATGATAATTTATTATTACAATAATTCATAAGGCAGGGTATAGAATCACCTTATCTGCAGAGAATTAAATAAAAGTATTGAATAAGAGAATTGTTCATTTTGTAATCAGTCCTCTCCTTTCTCCCCTCTCGGCCAGCTCCTTTCTTGCTCTTGTCTCAATACAATGCACTACTTTTTAACTGCTCACCCCCTGTACACTCCCATCCTGTTGTTTATGCCAAGTTCTCAGTTTCCCATCATACATTCCTTTTTCCTCTAGGGATTATTCTGTAGAATGTTTATCCAGTGTCAATAACAGGAGTTAAGCCAGGTCAAACTGTCCATTTCCATGGTGCTCCAACACACACACAAACACATCTAAACAATTTGCAGAGAGCTGACAGAGTACAGAGCAAAACTTGCAGAAGTTAGTGGGGCAAATAAGTATTTGATACACTGCTGATTTTTCAAGTTTTCCCACTTACATGCATGTCATGAAAAATCGGAGAAACAGAATCTACAAAAAATTCCAGGAAATCACATTGTTAGATTTTTAAATAATTTATTTCCATTTTATTGCATTAAATAAGTATTTGATACAATAGAAAAATAAAACTTAATATTTGGTACGGAAACCTTTGTTTACAATTACAGAGGTCAGACGTTTCCTGTAGTTCTTGACCAGGTTTGCACACACTGCAGCAGGGATTTTGGCCCACTCCTCCATACAGGTCTTCTCCAGATCTTTCAGGTTTTGGGGCTGTCGCTGGGCAACACGGAGTTTAAGCTCCCTCCATAGATTTTCTATTGGGTTCAGGTCTGGAGACTGGCTAGGCCACTCCAGGACCTTGAAATGCTTCTTACGGAGCCACTCCTAAGTTGCCCTGGCTGTGTGTTTGGGGTCATTGTCATGCTGGAAGTCCCAGCCACGACCCATCTTCAATGCTCTTATTGAGGGAAGGAGGTTGTTGCCCAAAATCACGCGATACATGGCCCCATCCATTCTCTCCTCAATACAGTGCAGTCGTCCTGTCCCCTTTGCAGAAAAACACCCCCAAAGCATGATGTTTCCACCCCCATGCTTCACGGTTGGGATGGTGTTCTTGGGATTGTACTCATCCTTCTTCCAAACACGGCGAGTGGAGTTTATACCAAAAAGTTCTATTTTGGTCTCATCTGACCACATGACCATGGATCATCCAGATGGTCTTTGGCAAACATCAAAAGGGCCTGGAAATGTGCTGGCTTGAGCAGAGGGACTTTGTGTGCGCTGCAGGATTTTAAGCCATGATGGTGTAGTGTGTTACTAATGGTAACCGTTGAGACTGCGGTCCCAGCTCTCTTCAGGTCATTGACCAGGTCCTCCCGTGTAGTTCTAGGCTGATCCCTC